CTCATCCTGGCTTGGGACCGGCCATGGCGGAGTTCCCAACAATTGATCATTCTTATAATTGATTCATGTTTATTCTAGGGATATTTTAGACTTGAATAGTTGAAAGCGTGTGCACTGCGTGGAACATTTAAACAATTAAAGGGATGCAGATAAATTCACATGTTATCACTGAAACAATAAGCATTGCAGAATACAAAAATCGGCAGAAACGAAACCAAAAAAACTCTATCTTGAAAAATAAAAATGAAAATTCTGAGAATGTAACCGCTTCATTTATTTCCCTGTGGATCACGGGAGCAACTGCTTGAAGTTTTTTCAAAATGTTTTCGGTGGTTTGTCATTCTTGTAAGCTCCATGAGCCGGATTTGAATGTGCAAAAACACCAAGTCCTCCATACAGTCGAGCCACCTAATTCACGGGCTACCTCCAAGCCATCTTCCATGTTGTTTTGTCAAGAGAATCCGCCTTACAAGTCGCTCATTAGCATTGTCCTTATTACGTAAATTTACCTGCCTTTGCTGGCTGCAGCGAAAATGACTAAGGTAAAAAATGGACTCGACCTCAGCCATAGACCTATCAAATAAACAACGAAGCGGTTTCATACCTGAATCAGATCCAGTATTCCGAGCTCGCTTTCAGAAGAATCTACGCAGAACACGAAGTAAAGCGTCGCATAATGCCGGTAGATGAGTTTGTAGTCGAAGTCGCCAATCAGACTGAAAATAAAACTGAAAACTTAGTAAAGCTACCAGAAAATCGAATTTTCTGAATGCAAATCAAAGCGGAGGTGCAACGGTTGGATACGATCCTGGTGTGAAATGAATGGTGAGTTTGCGAGATTCCGACTAGTGGCTGAATGTGCACATGAAAGCAGCTGTCGACTCAGCTAACAAACAGATACTGTGGAAGAGGCTAATAGGGAAGCGCCTCGGAACACTAATCGGTACTATTACTTTTCTGTAGCTTTTTGTATGGACACATGAATCAGACTCAACGCAGGAAATTTCTAATTACTTGCCAAAAATACCGAGAGTAAAACAGCGCAACATTCTTGCTCCCTCTATGTTCTGGTGTTGCATGCTACAGTGGAACATCATATGGCAAATATAGATACATACTCAGATGTAAACTACGCCATTCTGCTTCGGAACTGTTCGTTATAAACAACGACTACGCTGAGCAGCAGAAAGTCACCGCAGAAAAATTCGCTGTCATCGCGTAAAACGACAGTTTTATGACCCCTGCAGGGAATCGGCTAAAAAAACAACGGAAGGGCAGATAGTGGAAGAACCTGACCAAATTCATCTCAGAAACAAACTGCTTCTGTGGACGACGTAATCTAAAGGAGTTCGTATGAGACAATCTGGCTGCGTCTGGAATACTTTTCATAACTAGCGACAGTCTGAGCTTTGTCTGAGGACTTCAGTTCGATAGACCGTTATTGTTTTCCATTGTGAAGGCGAAATTTGGAGATGTCAAAAAATAGGTCACAAAATCGCAATCATTATGTACGAAATGCCAGCACTCTATGCTTACTCTGTGTCTATCCGCATAAGAGAGAAATACGAAAACGACTACTGCAGTCATTTTGCCCTCATGAAAGATATTATTTAACCTTCCTAGGAACCCATGCACTACCGAACTGAAACAGTAAGCTCTTAATGAAAAATTCAATGAATATCTCGAAGTTGTCTTTTTCTGCCAGCTTCCTCGATACTAAAACAGCATGTAATTCAACATATCGCTCAACAATGCCGAAAATCTTAAAATTCTATCGGAAATGATGCTCTCGACTTTCTTCTTTGAAACAGTGCTAAATCGCGAAAAGATAAGCGACTCATCCTAAACGAAAGGCGCATGTCAAAATATCCCGCCATGTATCTTCATGAACTGAAGTACGCAGACAACATTATCCAGGTAAGTGATACGAGGAGATCGCTGGCCGTTAAAAGCAATAAAGCGGCGAAAGTCGGGTTCTTCCTTAACGAACAGAAGTGAAAAGTAATGAAGAATCTAACCTAGAACAATTGATCTACAAGTTAAACAGAGAGGGAAGCGACTCACGAAACTGAAAAATTTAAGTGCCTCAGGTCCATAACACCGCCTTGAAGGTACAAAGCCTCCATGAGAAACAGAGGACTGGAAACCGTGGTGAAGTTCCCGTAATAAGTAACAACATGACCCTCACGGTAAGGAAGTTATCGAACGCTATAACCGCTCAGTCGTCGTCACAAGGGTTGGTTACCAAAAGCCGTGCACAATATTTGGGGCCTAAGGCAATCTGTGAAAAATCGACGAAAATAACGTGCATCACGCCTTCTATCACCTAGGGGTGTAGCAGCACAACGATGAAAGGACATGAAAACCATCAAAATACCAATCAGCAACGGAGTCGCTAGTTGTTCCGAACGGAGAACGGAGACAGCGCCATGCCATT